CCTAAACCTAACCTTAAACCTAACCCTAACCCTAACCCTAACCCTAACCCTAACCCTAAACCTAACCCTAAACCTAACCCTTACCTTAACTGAAATCACACTTTTGTGGGCGTGGTTTTGTCAGCGCGTTGTTGTGGGCCCGTGTATGATGTCACGGTTTTCACACCGCGGTTTTGTTGGTGTGCTTTTTTCGTGCGCGCATTTGTTGGGTCACGCAAATTAGTGATGGGAGAGTAGATACATAGAACTTTGATTTAGGGTGGATGGTATCGGGAGAGCTCCATAAGAAGGGCAGAGCAAAGAAGGCCAGATTAGGAGTCCGAGTCAGAAGGTTCACCATATTCAGGGCTTCTGGGGAGGGAGTCCACTTTCAAAGAGGAACAGCAAGGAGTGTTATTGCTAAATGGAGTAGCCATTGGATGGACACCACCAGGATCCATACAGGAGAAACCAGTGGGGATGGGGATGCAGTTTGACTAGTCTTGTTCTTTGTAGATTGTTCCCTGTGAGGTGATCGTCTGGAGGGTTATAGAAGGATTGTGTACATTGAACACTTGTTGTTCCCTTCATTTATTTGAATGATTTGTAGCTGGAACACATTTTTAATGTTATTTTTGTGTGTGTCCAGATAATGAGCTTTGCAGCATTTCAATAGGAGGACAGCTACAGGACATTAAAGTGTTGATGGACTCCGTTTTAGCAGTTGATTCTAATGCTCCAAGTTTGCATAGATTATAATTATTTGTTCTTCTGTAGAAAGAACGCCAAACAACTCAGCCAGTAGTTCTTCTTCATCCGCTGTAGGGTCGACTGATGTCTGTATCTTCTCTTTAATTAAATCAAGGGGGTTACGCCTCCTGTGCTTATCTGGTCCTGACCTTGGTGTTGGTGGAGCACTTTACTATGTAGATGGGTTGCTGGCTGAGACTGTGAACTCTGGGGCTTATGCCATTCTCTCTCACAGGCTTGGCTCTCCTCCTAGAATTTTTCAGTGGTCATACAGTACACTCCTATTGTGAAAGACACGGATAGGCATAATTGGAAATCCCCTTACAAAATTTTTTAAGGGAATGTGAATGGCCTCAAAAAAAAATATGATCATTTCAAGGCCATGCCATCTTGGAGGATAGGAAATTTCTGTAAATTCACTGGAATATATTCTACACTGAAGAAGTTGTGAAAGGGAGTATAGTACAACTTGTGTGTTATGCTACTACCTTTGTTTGAGAATGCTGTATCACCTT